GAGAGAGAGAGAGAGAGAGAGAGAGAGAGAGAGAGAGAGAGAGAGAGAGAGAGAGAGACTGTGATATTCACGTGCGGCAGCGGCAACGGCGGTAAGTGGGGTTCATTAAAAAAAAATAAAAAAAAAATGAAGTTTGTATCTGATGTATAGTTTGGTTTGGTGTTAGTTGGATGTGATTGCGATGCTGTTCGAAAAGGCATCGCAAAAAAGCCCTAAAGGTCGATGTAGTTGGTGTAATTTAGGGTTTTTTTCTAGCACAGGATTTCTGTCAAAAAAGGGGTATCTGTCAAAAAAGAGGTATCTGGAAAAAAAGGGGTATCTGTAAAAAAAGGGGTATCTGTAAGAAAAGGGGTATCTGTCAAAAAAGGGTTGAGTCTAAAGGCGGGATTGAACTAACACGGAGAAGAAGAAGAAGATGGAAATCCTGTGGTGGTGGTGGTGGTGGTGATCGGACTCGTCACCTTCGCGGATGCACAATCGCGGTTCAATGGTGAGGACGGCGGCGACGAAGGAGAAGAACAAAAAAGAAGAAGAAGAAGACGAAGATGGTGATGGATGATGATGACGATGATGATGATAGTGATGATGATGAAAGTGGAAAAGGGAAGGTAAATGATATCAAGCGATGATTCTACCTTCTTTTTTAGCCGAATACATCGTAACGACGGTTATTATTGCCGTGTTGAGACTGAAAGATGCCCCAAATACAGCTAATATAATGACCGTGCGTTGTATTCGGGGGAAGGAGGTAGTGATGAGGTCGACAGTGAGCTTTGTGAAGCAATTCTGGGCAAAGAGTGGTCGGGATCGGGATCGGGAGGGGAGGCAGCATCATTTATGAATGAGACAATAGAGATCATGACGATGACGATGATGATGATGATGATGATGACGAGGAGGAGGAGGAGGAGGAGGATAAGAAGGGGAGGATGAGGGAGGAGGGCGAGTAGAAAAAGAAGAGAGAAGAGAAAGGAGAGCAAGAATTGAGAGACGAGGAGGGTGAGGAGGGGGAGGAGGAGCAGCAGGAGGAGGAGGAGGAGGAGGGGAAATAGGATGATGATGGAGTGGTGGAAATGACGACGTCTCAACGTCGAGAAATTCTGTCAGGAGCCTGCGGAAGAAGGGAAAAAAAAAAAGGGAAAAAAAAAGAAAGGGCAATCGTGATAGCTAACGCGAATGAACGGGTGTTGAGAGAGAGAGAGAGAGAGAGAGAGAGAGAGAGAGAGAGAGAGAGAGAGAGAGAGAGAGAGAGAGAGAGAGAGAGAGAGAGAGAGAGAGAGAGAGAGAACCTCAATCCAATCAGGTAAGGTAAGGGAGGAAGCCCATGCGAGGTGGTGGGAGAGTTAAGGAATGGCCACCGCCTTGCCCCGAAGACAACGGACCCCCGTCTTCACCCGAATAGAACGCCCGGTCATTATAGCTAGCAGTATTTGGTGCACTTTTCAGTACAGATACGGCTGTAATGACGGGGCGTTCTATTCGGGTGAAGGCAGTGATCATGAAAGCGATGTCTTCGGTCCAATACAGTAAAGAGGAGGGCGCGTTGTATTCGGAGGACAGCGCAAGCGACGAACATGAGTGCAGGTTGGGCGAGATGAAGATGGTGTTGTAAACGAAGGAGAAGCTCATCTGAGGGATGATGGACGATGGGTGATGGGTGATGGGCGATGGTAGTATAGCCATCGCCATCGCCTCGTTAGCGAGAGAAAGAGTGCTGATAATGATGCGAATCATGATGGTGATTGCCGCTGCTTCTGCTGCTGCTGCTGCTGATGTTGATGATGAAGATGATGGTGATGATGATGATGATGATGATGATAAGGAAGATGCTGCTGCTGCTGATGATGATGATGCTTCAGGGTCACATCGAAATTCTTTACCAAATTTAAAATAAAAATAAAGTTAAAAAATATTATTATTATTATTATTATTTTTTATTTTTCCCCCCCCCGTCCGGGCAACTTTTGTTTTGATTTTATTTTGGTGCCTCAATTTTTTTATTTTATTTTTAAATTACGAACTTAAGATTATGTGAAATATACGTCTGCAAATTTTCAGGGCATTTGGCTATCCCAAGGAAAAATGAAAAATCGCCAAAGATGGCGGTGTCGAAAACGTGCTCGCCCACTCACTAATTTTAATTCTCTTTTCATTTTTTTAAAATTTCTTCTTATTAATAAAAAGGAAAAAAAAGGAAAAAAAAAAGACCCGGGGCAAGCTTTGCAGACCCAACAACAACAACAACAACAACAACAACAACAGTTGAAGTACAGACCTGAGTCCGAACTCCGCTGTAAGCAGATGAGTACAATCTGAGTTTTTGCTGCTATCGACTACAGCACAAAACAAACAAACAAACAAACAAACAAACAAAAAATAAATTCGGTGGAACTCAAAGCACCCTTATCTGTCGAGCACAAAGAATTCTATCACGCACAAAGAAGAAGACAATGCAGGACAGAATCGAACCCTGGTCTTCTGAACTCGAATTCTTCTTCTG